CCCCCCCCCCCCAAATCATCGGTGAATGAAACTGCGGCAGCTGCAACCACTACGACGAGTACGCGGTTCTTACAGCTGACAATGGTGATGATGACCGGGTAGGATCAAGCCCAAACCTTATGCTTACAGAAGAACTAACCGACGTGGTAGGTAAATTTGATTACTTGGGCCACTTTATAAGTTCCGATGGGCTGGCTGGAAATGAGATTACATTTCAAATCGGCCAGGCCAGGGCAGCTTTTGCCAACCCACAATACGTATGGCGGCGACTTGACGCCAGCTTGTCTGTCAAAGGCAGAGTTTACACTATAAAGGTGCGATGCATATGATTTCATGGATCAGAACATGGACTCCGCGCGTACGGGATATACGAAAGATGTCAGTACTCAACCATCGATGTCTCCGAAGCGTTGGTTGAATATAGTGGGAACTTTGGATTATTAGTGCCGAGGTGCACCACATGGTTTTAGGGAGAAGAAACTATCCCGCGATAGATGGACTACTCACGCTTTTAAATTGTTTGCAAGTAGCTAAGAAGTGGCGTGCATACACGGTGTTTTTCAGGCGAATATATTGTTGTTCCAGTTACGTTGTCGCATAATCGTAATCAGTACATTTCGCAACGGAGTCGTACGCCGTATAGTTAATTTGACGTCCAACAGTTTTCGGTTTATCTAGAATTTCAGGCTTGATTGAGTTGATATGGCCCTCGAAGGTATGGGACCAATGAGCTCATCCTTTCCTGGCATCTGGTAAACGAGGATCAGCATCAAAAGTCGTGGTTCAGAGAATGTGATCCATTTCTTTATTAAACGATTCAATTGTTGAAAGGGTTGAGCGGCCGAAGGTCAAGATTAGAACGAAGACAGAAGAGAAGAGCTTAATGTACACTTTGATTACCTTACAACAATAATACATGAACTGAAAGTATAGAGTGATGATATATGAAAAGTATGGTTGTGTAGTTATGGCAATAGGTTAAAAAAAGCGTTCAGCTGTAGCACCCTTCCGGCGCCTAGCTGCCATGCCACCCGAAGGTTGCACGAGGGCTCGGATACTGCCAGGTTGCCCGAGCCTAGACAGGGGAAGTCGAGAGGCGGAGGTCGGGTTCGAACCACGGACCTTCCGGTCAGTAAATTCGCGCTCTAACCACTTGGGCCATCTCGCCCCATGGCAATAGGTTGCGCTGGTTAGAACATGTAATTAGGCACCCCAGGAGACCATCTGCTTTCCAGATTTCCTTTTCCGAGCCCTGTGCTGAGCAGAAACGACCGAGAGGTGAACAGTTTATGACGTGGCAACGAAGTATGAAAATATTGACCAGTAGACTGAGTCCGGTTGACATCTACCGCCTTCCTGGATTGCAATCCCGGGGCTCAACTTACCAATGGTGAATAACAATGACCCAATGACGCAGTCACTGGATCTCGTACATCAAAGCTATCGCTTTCATCGCATAGCTACTCAGTTCCGTAACCAACTGATCGTTCTGTCGCCTTTTGTGCTTGGCTGTGCATCCTGAACCATTACTCTTTCCGGTGACCGAAACTGTAGTGGCTGAAACCACTGTACCCACGGCTTACGGTGTATAGCTGATTGGTTTAAAGTTAATTGCTCGATTGAGGTGGAGCTCATAGATACAACTTTCCCGACATGTTCTTTCTTTTCACCGCTGTGTACATTCCTTAGTTGGTGAATATCACACGCTGTTTGTATCCACATAACTGTGTGCGCGTGAGAGCATGATGAGTTCTCCAGAAGTTGTAGTGTCCCATCACTGTCCGTTTTGCAGCGCTTGTGAATGTAATATCTGTGAGTCAGCCGGCGCTGCTAGCCCTGGCCTGTCTGTCTGACTGCTCTCAATGTCCACACTCTGAAGCATGCAGGACAAAAATTTAATCTTGCTCTCACACTGGGCCCTTTTGATGTCGAAGTGCACTGTCTATCAGAAACAAGAATTTACGATGCAGGCACAGTGGTCGAGCTAACTGCCTCATCACTGTCCACTCGATTCCAGTTACGCAACTCTGGTGATCAAGAGGCTGCTGCGGCAGGATTGTAAGGGTCGGGATCGCCCTAACTCGCCAGAGGGCATGATCATAATGTGTCAAAATATTGATAGCTCTGGTGAGTTTATTGGTCGTCCATCAGGTGACTGTTGATGTGTCCGCTGACCTTCACAATGGGCGTGCACTCACCCAACTACTCACTGATGATGGATTCCCATATGGCGACGAAGCTTTTGAAAGTTAATTGCTAGGATCGGCAAACAGCCACTGGATCGACAATCAAGGAGCCTTGCTCAACTGGATGCCCACTTTGTATTTCACTCTGTTCGGTTCGCTGAAAACTTCTGTAATGAGATCGTTCAACTGTATCACCCTTTCGGTGCCTAACTGTCGTGCTACCCGAAGGTTGCACGAGGGCCGGGATACTGCCAGGTTGCCCAAGCCCAAACAGGAGAAATCGAGAGGCAGAGGTATGTAAAGAACTCGCACAAGTTCAAAGTTTTCCGCTATCCGTCTGTCTTCTTACGTTTCAACCGACTGTAGCCCTGACACCACCAAAGCTAGTTTTTATGGCACCTTAAGCACTCTGTTTTTGGCGGGCTGAATTCTTAGAAATCGTGTTTAACGGAGATCTGAATGCACAAGTGGGCAGATTTATCGTGTATGTGACTCATTTAGGTGACCGACATGGATTGGACTAAATACGTACCAACATTGGGGAACGGCTGCTTCTCGTATGTGTTGACCACAGACTTTTTATGCTGTAGTTCGCAAGCATCTCCCAACGGCGTGCCAGCCACGGACCGGAATTCGTCACTAACTGGCTGCCACTTATTTTGGAACATACTTGTGGGATGCAACCACGCGCTTGTTTTTCAGGACCGCTTTATGTGCGGACACATCGCTCAGCAGCTGAGAAACTGGCAGATCCCGAAGTTAGACGAATTTACCAGAATTGTCTCCTGAACTCTTTTCTAACTACCCAGCCATCAGATGTGAATTAATGCCTTACGCACTGCTCAGAGTTTTGTTTGTGGCACGGCGCTATCAGGTCCACTCAAACCCTGGATGTCAGACAGAACAGTGGGACCGCTTGAATCTCGAAGAAATATTCCATCCTGACGAATTATCCGACGTCACGTGAAAGTAAGCATGCGCGCTCACCTTGAAGCCTAGTGAACACAGTAGGCTGAAGAGAGTGAAGAGGCCTAGAAATCCGGCAATACTGGAAGATCAAGGATCAAATTGCCGTAACCGTCTTCAGTGAAAATAAACGCCTCGAGGGCTGGGATAAGCAGTTTGAACATCAATTATCGTGATCACCTGCTACTACTAATTTGGATCTGTTATATCCTCTTTGATAATGCATCAGTCAGACGTCAGTTCACCAGAATGGAGGAGACAAACAACTTCGAAGAAGTTATAGTGCAAACAAGTGGAGCGTTCCCCGATATGGAATTTAATTGAATAAGACTATAAAAAGCTAACAGTTCAATAAGATGTCAGTGAGGGGCTGAAATGTAGCAACAAGGTTTCAGTGCACGGAACAAATCGTTATCAAAGTGGATTTGTTCGTTTGGAGTTAGTCCTAACAGAATCTTCGAACTGTGTTATAACCCTGCATGATGAACGGGTAAGACCCAACGAATCGTGTGTTGATTGCATATTTTCAAGCGCCACTGCATTACATTCCGCTCTCACTGTTCAGTGAGGGGGTGAAGTCCTCAGTCAGAGCTTACATGACTTGCCTGTACCTAGGCAAAGCAAACTGCTCCATGCAACTGGGAGGAACTGACGACTTGCGCATTTCCAAAAAAGAGGCTCATAGTAAGCGCAGTGGTCACGGGAGAATCAACTTGACCCTAGTCATAATGAGATTCCTGATGCCACTTGTTCGTTGCTTTGTGGTGGCCCTTGAGCAGTCGACTGGAGAGCAACAAGCGGGATTTCTGCCTGATAGGGGTTGCGTTGACCAAATCTTCACCCTCCATCAGATAATAGAATAGCGGTACTAGTACCTATCAGCGACTCACAATTTTAGTGTTCCTGGATTTCCAATGCATACTCAGCTTAGCTGAAGGTCTATTCCCATTAGCGCGATTGGTTAACAAGGAATGCACAGGGTGTTTGTGAACTTAAGTAGTTCGTTGTACTTTCGGACGTTTGAGAGTGTATGGAAAGCTCTCCGAAAGCTTCCTTACACAAAGATGTGTCCTTCAAAGATATCCATCATCTCCACTCCTATTTAATTTTGTGATCGACGAGATAATGAGACGATCGCTGAAAGAGTTTACAGAACCCTAGTGTTCGAATATTCGCCGACGAAAACCTTGTCGATCTCGTCTTCGAAGACGAGAAGGCGAAAATATTTTCGGATGAACTGACCAAAGTCACCCAATCACTCACCAATGTAAGGCTTCTAGACATGCAGTTACAGCACGCCACTTACAATCCAAGGAGAGGCACTCGGAGTCCTGGGGCGTCTTGCGTATTTTGTAAGTTGTAGTAGTAGTCCCGATTTTGATATGACATGTGGTCAATTCGTGATTCTCCGAAGCTCGGGTCACGTTTGCTAATTTGAGGAAGCGGCATATCCCTGAATCTCAAGGGACGGTGCTAATTTGAGGCATCTATGCAAAGCGGCATATCCCTGAATCTCAAGGGACGTGCATATCAGGCTGCTGCAAGCTGTTTTGTTGCATGGCTGTATAGCCACTCCGGGTAGCGAAGCTGAGATGTTTCCAGATATTCGAAAACCATTGTCTCAGAATCACAGCTCGTGTAGGCTGGTGTCGGCGTATCCACGACGAGTCATTTGGAAAACGAGTTCTCGTTTACACAAGGGGACTTCAATCGAGGAGTGTTTTCAACACGAGAACCTGCGTTGCCCATGCCCAGTAATCGGAATAATCTAAAATGAAGCTATTTTCTATGCCTAATTCAGAACGATGCAGGCAGAGGCGTGTCCAACCTTTAACCAGGCAGAGGGGTGTGAAGGAGATTACGTAGCGTTAGGGTGCTGTCGGTGCGAATCCCCATCTACGATAGAGTTTATGTGATCCTTACTGCGCCTGGTTCGGGCCGCTCCAAGAAACGGCTCCTAATCGATGCCAGTGACAGTTTTGTCGTCAGTTTCTGAGTATTTGTGGACTCCTCAGAATGATTGTGAGAAGCTAGCACCAAGTTCCTTTCCTTTCCACTTCCATTCTTCTTTCGCAGTATGACTGTCAAATGAATCGTGATTGTACGGTAGTGAGGCACTAGTGTTGAGCACTGATATTTACTTTCTGTGATGACAAGTCCGCTTTTCGCCTTCAAGGCTGGGTATCCCCAGACCTTTCCTGTGCCTGACTGGAGATGCTTAACGATGTGGTCGTTAACCGATATCAGCGGTAGCGAAGCTTTAGTGTTGAACATTGATGTAGTGCTGTCCATGATTATGGTCGTTCCGATGACCATACGATGACCGTGTTTCTAGTCAAATTGCCCTACTGAGCATTGGAGTTATAGACACCTGGGATGTCAGTGGTAGGTTAGCTGTAGATCCCACTCCCCGTTTTATTTTCTTTCCCATTGCTAGGCTTTTTGCAAACGGCAGTGATGCATTGGTGTTGCTGACACCGATGATGGCAATTACGACGGTGATCAGTGCATGGGGCGAGGTGGTCCAAGTGGTTAGAGCGCGACTTTACTGACCGGAAGGTCCGTGGTTCGAATCCAACCTCCGCCACTCGACTTCCCCTGTCTAGGCTTGGGCAACCTGGCAGTATCCCAGCCCTAGTGCTTCCCTCAGGTGGCATGGCAGCTAGGCACCGGAAGAGTGCTACAGCTGAACGCTTTTTTCTTCAGCTGAACGCATGGGAAGCAACGTGCCAGCAAGATCAGCCTTTAGAGTGCGAAACTCAAAAGCAGCTATGTGGACCGGTTTTCGAACTTTACAGGACTGATGCCCACTTGTTTTCGGGCTGTTAGTACAGATATCCCTCAGCTCCTGTGCTGCTAAGTGTGATACGAAATCAACAAGACTGTCATACTGTTGTTGTGGGTTTCAGATAAGGTAGTGAAATTGGATTGGTCTAGGGGGATCAGAATGGCTACATGAGAGGCGTCAGCAGCAGAATATTTTCGCCTGCCCGCACTGTTGTATGCTCCATTGGATATCCGGTATGAAGTGACAGTCGTGGATTTCACTGCTGTACGGGAACTTTGATACCACCAACCAGGCAAGAGGACGGTTTAGATGTTCAACGAAAACTTTTGGCGCATGTGCTGGCCGCGAGACAGCGGGTAGGTGACTATGCTACACGTAGTGCAGTTTCTTCTTAAAAAGTCGCTATGTGTGCTCCATCATTCAGCTTGGAGTTCCAGGAGATCTCTTTCGTCGTATATTATGGACGAGATGGCTCTGTGGTTAGACCACGAACATTCTAACTGGAAGTTCCGTGGTTCGAACCCGACCTCTGCATTTCGACTTCCACTTTCTAGGCTTGAGGAACATGGCGGTGTCCCAGCCCTCATGCCTCGAGTATCATGGCAACCAGGCATCGAAAGGGTGCTACAGCTGAAGACTTTTTTGTATCAGGTTTTCCGGTTAGGCAATCGAACACTCTTCCACTATATCTCCCAGTATTCATAGAGAAACCCAAACCGTCGCATCATTATAAGACTCAGTTTCCTCGCATTCTTTACATTACTACATTTGCCCGCGAATTACGTACATTTTATTTCCCGGTGGTTTGTTTTAGCGTCATGGACAGTACCGAGCGACGTCGGCTAAACCGACTGCTTCGTAAGCCAACTCCTCCGGGATTGAATAGACCGAGTGGTTCTAAAGCTCGCCTAGTGGGTCGAAATTCTCACCGACCGTCCCGCAGTGGACCCTCATCAAGCACTTCAGCCCTCCCCACAAATGCTGCGACAACCTCAGGCAGTGATGAGGCGAAGCAAAGTGGGATTTCGGTGGACGTTGCCAAACTCTGTGCGGAAATGTGTGGTATTTCGAATCTGTCTACACCGGCGGCCATGTTGCTGCAAAAGCATCTGAATCAAATCGCACGTCTTTTAGTTCACAATATACTGCGCGTAATGGAACAAAGCCGTCGTGGTGTTCCACAGGCTTCAGATGTGGACTTAGCATCAGTTCTAATTGGTCTGGAGGTCAGTTCCTCTTGGGGATTTTTCTTATAAGTGACATTTACTGCGTTCAAAATCCCGTTGGTTTATTTTATCAGAGGTGGGGAAATTAGATGAATGGTTTTGTGAAGGTTATTACCGTATTTAATGTCTGGATTTGTTTTCCTGTATTTTGTAATTTGCTAGCCTTCGTTCCATCTCGGATGGGCGCCTTGAGATCTCCCACTTGTTCTAACATGTACGTGTATGAGACCGCACGAGAGGGCAATCACGCTCAATACCGTGTAACCCAACCTATCTTGTAGTTGTTTAGGACTACCTACTATTTTTCTTTTGTTTCACCAAATGTGGATTTTTTTAAAAATATCGATTGTGGTGCTCTGCTATCGATTACTGAACGTGAGGAATAACTGTCGGCTAAGTGCCTTTTTTTCGACCTATCGCCTAACCAAACAAGGTTGTCTGCTGTCATGTACTGCCGTAGAAGTGTGTTCTTTGACAAACCTTACGTGTGTTCGAGATGTTGTTGTAGAGATGTTCGCGGTAATCATGGTGATGCGCCACTGGGTGAATGTGACAGTGTTGCACTGCACGGCCTTGTTACACACTGACGCACCATGGTCTCATCCCAGTTAGTGTTGAAGTGTTTGTGTCAGTCTGCGACCTTAGCAGACCACTCAACCACCCGCCAGACAACCCGAACCGCCAATATTCAGCACGGTAACGCTTGACACACTTTGTGAACATTTGCAGCTCCCTGGGATTTTGGAAGATGCGCATTATTGATTTTTCCCGACAGGGATGAAACAGCTGTACAGTTCTTGGGTTTCAGGGATAAGTTAGCCTCACTTATGAGACGGATATCTCCACATCTGCTTACACTGGTAACTTTTGTAGTATTCCTTCACACACCTTTTTCCGTCAGTGCCTTTTTTGCAATCGTCAGCAGCTTCATCTGTGCACTCCTCAGTACTTCATCTACGGATCCGACAGCATCTGTAGGTGTAACGTGGTTTCAACTGGTCCTACTACTCTTTATCAGAACTTATAGACCTAAATGTATGAATCTAGGTGCTCTCATAGCTCTCACCCTACCACATGTACCCCTAACACAGGTACCGTTGAAAGCACATAAAGGTTAACCTGATGTCCACATTTTATGTAATCACCGAACGCTGTAACTGTCGAGACATAACATTATCGTTTTGAAAACGAGGTCATTTTTCCTTATGAGGATTTGGACTGTTTTCTCCCTTATTCACTTGGTGAATTACGCGAGAAAACAGTACCTGGAATAACGGTTATGCCTCGACTCGGGTCTCGGTCTCCCTAACGAGTGTTTGCAGCGGAGCTAACGAGGAGTACACGAAATATAAGCGTGCAAAATGTATCCAGAAACACATACAGTTAGTCGTATTTAAAGTATACGTACAAAAATTCGGGAAATTCGGACAGCGTTTGAACCATTTGCTGATACGGATACCGAGACGTGTGATTGGTTATTAGGTCTACATTTTTGGCCAATCAGAGCTCGCCTCAGTGCTGGAGTGGTTGGGGGCCGTCTTCTGACCAATCACGTGCGAGCTAAGCAGTCGTTACCGCACCTAATTGTGGTTGGTTTGGGCGTAGGATCCCGCCTCACAGAACCTACTGTCGACGATCACCCATAATAAACATGTAGCGGGGAAAACCACACCGTGACACATGGCTAAGTACATGCGTAACATAGTCACATGTGGAATTGTGCTGACAAGTATTCACGAATGAAGATTGAAAATGCTGGGAGTGCGGAATTATGGAGTGCACTTCGGAACGGAGGAAGAGTTCTTTGCAGCAGCGATAGCTTTTCCCCGGAAGTTGGCAGGAACCATGGGGACGCCGCATGAATGAATAAGCTGTAGACTGGGGCAGGATTCGAGTAATGACGAAGACAATAAAAAATGGCGGGCTACACCCCGATGAAGGGTAGACATTGACATTCATCCTTCAGAATAGAGGAGCTAATCGGAATTAGCCAGGGAATGGCAAGTTAGTAGAAGGGGGTTCATTCTGCATATGGAGTAGATCCGAAGTCTATGCTTGAAGACGAATTCCAAAGACAAAATAGAATTCTAACCCAGCTCAGCGAACAAGCCAGTGGCCAAAAGTCTAACTTTCGTGGGGACCAAAGGACTTAGGAAATGGTAATCCAAGAAGAGGACGACTGGGAAATTGTGAGATAAAGTTGGAATGAATGAAATCTAAGGGGTTTGGTTGTTGGATGGCTAAAGAAAACGTGTTCGAATTTGGTGGGCTTTCGTGTTGGCTGTAGGTCCGGTAGACAGAATCCTCTAGATGGACCTGTGGTGATCACTTTGTTAAGATGTTTACAACACAGCTGTTCAATAGGGAGTGTAGGCCCTGCTCTTAGTAATTTGTCGAGACGGTCCCATTTTGTCTCCCACGGGAAGTTTTTATAACGTCCAGGCAGACAAGTTCATTTTTTTCCAGAGAAATCCACGGCCGATGTCTAGAGTTAAGGAACGTAACGCAGCATCTCATTGCTAGAGCAATGACGCCTAAACCTATATTGCTACTCATTTAGGAGGGTGCTGCTTTAAGTCCACGCAGGAGTCGTTTGGCAAGGATGGACTCCGGAACGAAATGGGGTGGCAGTTAACTAGGTAAGAACATAACCCATCTTTGGAGATATACGCTAAATTTGGAGGTCCCCGAAGAGATGGCACAACACGGGTAGGGATAAGCGGAGAAACCGAACAACGACTGGAGCGAGTTTTGGGACAAAAGAAATGGGGCGCGATCTGGGTCGGAATGGTTTGAACTTTTAGATGAATGGGGAGGCTTGGGAATATCTGTTATGGTAATTACGGGTGGGGAAATTGGATGGGAGGGGGGCGACGGGTACACTGGAATAGATAGAGTTGATGTTGAATCGGATGCAAAAAACGGAACAAATACTTCACTTTCATCAAAGTCTCATAAAGGTCGACTTTCAAAGGCGTATTATGTAGCCAATCAACCTCGCCACCGATGAACATGTTCTTGGTTCTGTCGGGCATAAGTTGTGAACGAAGGGTGCATTCGTTGGTGCTTATGTAGTCGGTTCTTTCTGGGTAGGGCGCGGAGAGAGATATGAGTAAACCATTCGGGAGAGAAAAAAACCGGGAGAAACTTGTGTATTATGTCTTCCTGACTGATGTTTTGGCGATAAAAGGGCCTCCTGGATCATATATTCATTGTGCGTAACGATAATAATTATTAGTCGTTCAGTTGTAGCACCATTTCTGTGCCTAGCTGCCATGCCACCAGAAGGGGGCACGAGAGCTGGGATACTGCCAGGTTACCCAAGCCTAGAGAGGCAAAGTCGTGAGGTAGAGGTCGGGATCGAACCACGGACCTTCAGTCCAGTAAATTGGCGCTCTAACCACAGCCCTCTCACCCCATTGCGTGTGTAAATAGGGAAGCTATTAAGATCCATCATCGCACCGGAGAGACCATGAGGGATAGCATCAAGACTATTTCCCCTTTAACGGACAATCGCCCCATCAGATGACTGCCGCCGGAAATCTGTTCCTGCTGAATCTGTTCACACGCATTCGTTCCGGCCTATTATTTATCAAAATGTGAGTTAAACAGAACGGACTACATTTGATGTAGGTGAAAGCACAAAAATGTATCTATTTTGAGTCGGATTAGCAAACCACGAAGCGGACAGTTCAAGAAACCCATGCCGTAGCTCGGTTCAAATTTTCATACAGTTTAATCTTCGCTAATTTCAGGGCATGGATTACCCCAGAATCAATGGAAAGTGATCGATCTCCAAGACGAATTCCCGCCGTATGAACTGGAAATCGCGTGTTCATCTATCGTGACTGAACAACGGAACGGAGGAAACCGAGGAATGTCCGTGAGCACGAACCTGAGTGAACAGGATCCGGGACTACGAGCCCGATGATCCGGGTGGGAACCGCACATGGCTGCTGGTCCCTGTTCATTCCGATCATTTCTAAACAGAAGCATTGTTGGGGATTGTAAATGGGTGAACGAGGTCCAATAGCTGTGAAGGATAGAACGGGTACGGTTGAGGAGGATAAACAGTGACAGAACTGAAGTTTCTGTTCACACTGCGATTGCTTTGAATTCTCTAGGGGAGCAATTAATTGTTTGTGTCACCATGTTTGGCTATTGGTTGTGGTGTGTGGCAACCAATCCCAGGGGTTTGGATTGGAGAATCACATTGGTCTCCAATCAATTGGACAGCTTCAACTGCCCACTCCATCACTGACGGTAGCTCCACACGACCAGCCCAAAGTTATCGATACGCTTAGGTAGTCACGTTCGAACCCAATTTTCTCTTACATGTCAACTGCTGCGATTATGAGTTTGACGTATTCTTAGTATGGTGGTACTGGAAGACAGGCGTCGCTTGCCAAATTCCGCGGAAACACATGGGAATAAATTTCTTTGGTTTTTCCTAAAACACCACAAATCTCCCTCCATTACTACCAAACATGCGTGCTAGTCCATACAACACTCATACGCCCGGTTTTTCTTTTGTTGACCTCAATCTCATGAACTAGAAGTAATAATAAACTGAGTGATCTGGTCTACCAGCACGTCTCTACACGGATATCCCTTGCTAACTTGTTTTCTCAGTGCATGGGAACACTCCTCCAATCTGTCTAAATCCAAAATGACAGAATGCATTTATCTCTTTCGTCTATTTTAGGCACCATTCGGTTCAACACCAGCGAATTTCCTGCCTATACGAACGGGAGGGCGGACCGCAACCTCTGGGCCGGGTGGTAAAGTATTCTTCATTCGGCCGGACAAGGAAATCGATGTGAAGGCGCTCCTTCTTCGAGAACCGGCGGGAGTGCTGTACGACGTTAGTGTCGTTGGTAAGCAGAGTGGTTCTTTGAGTTTATTGGTTTTGGGTTACGGACATCCGACGACGTTCACAACCCCCGGCAGCAACTCCACCTTTTCACTTTCTGGTTTGAAACCCGGATACAGCCACCTCAATCAGCAGAGCGTGGGACGTTCCGTTTTAATTCCTACTTCAAGGAATCATTGTCGCGTGTGAAACTTCAGGTGATTGAGACGGACTAGAAATGGGCTTGGCCACGCATAACTATCTTTGATGATCGTACTGAAACTTATTTTAGTTTCAGTTGGAACTGGGCCAGGGGAAAAGTATATATGTATAATATGATATACCACCGGGACGTTGTGTTAATGAACGGACCCAGGTTCGGCGTCACACGGAGACTTGGAGAAATCGACGGCTGACTTCGGTGCCTCGATAGTAAACAGGTAGCTGCTCACTCTTATTCCATCGTGTTCAGACCGGATGATAGCTTTTGACAGGCTCTTGCGAGGTAGCGAGATGGCTCGGTGGTTAGAGCGCGAATTAACTGGCCGGAAGGTCCGTGGTTCGAACTCGACTTCTGCCTCTCGACTTCCCCTGTCTAGGCTTGGGTAACCTGACAGTATCCAAGCCCTCGTGCTTCCTTCGGGTGGCATGGCAGCTAGGCACCGAAAGGATGTTACAGCGTAACGATTAATTGATTGTCGACGGGCTGTTGCATCTTCAGCGGCCGATCTTATTCCCCGGGGTTAATATTAGCGCCAAGGGTTTTCACGCAGTTTTGTCGTGAGGGCTTTCAACAGGAATTGTGGATCGCATCAAGTTGTCCCGCCTCGCGGTATGAAAAGCTGTAGACCCATTTGCGCGGAACCTAGTTCTGATCCAGCGGCAGTCTAATGAAGGACTTGTAAGGTGGCTGAAAACTTTTTGACAGCCCATGACCGGCTTCAGCCTTTGAGGATCATCAGGTAGGTAGATTTCTGTCAACCTTACGTTCTCATAAAACTTTTTGCCCATGACCGGCTTCAGCCTTTGAGGATCATCAGGTAGGTAGATTTCTGTCAACCTTACGTTCTCATTGAACGCGAATCATGCCCTAACAAGTGTATTTTGCAAATGTTACTGTATGTTCATCACGTTTGTCTCTACATCTTTCGCTCTAGCTCATTGGCTCGCAGTGAACGGCAAGCAGCCGGTTTCACCGCAGAACCCTCCACCTGACTTCCTCGCAAGAATGAGGCAGTTTAGCGGCTCGATCGGTAAGCGCGAGTCCGGTCAATCAGTGGACCGCAATGATGCCACTTCAGAAGATCCCACCCATGGAAAACGTCCAAATCCGCCGCTTAGTGCAAGCAAAGTGCGATCAATTGCGGATGGCGATGTTGTCAGTGGTGTTCCTCATCCCAGAACAATTTCTTCCATATCCGTGGAGGTAAGTATCGTAAGGGTTTAGTTAGACTGACTGGGACACTTTTGGTATGTCTTTGTGTGGTGTGCATCAATTACGTGCCGTTCTGCTTGTAAGGTCGTCGTTACAGACAATTCAAACCTTCATGAAGGCTCCCATATCCTTACCTCTTTCTAGAAAATAAAGCAGCGAATACCAACTTTTGTGTAAGCAACGACTGTCGCAGTGCTCAATCAATGGCGCTTGTTCTTCTTTTGGTTTCTTACTACAGTTGGCTTCTGGCGAGATGGCCCTAGTGGTTAGAGCGCGAATTCACTGACCGGAAGGTCCGTGGTTCGAACCCGACCTCTGCCTCTCGACTTTCTCTCTCTAGGCTCGGACAACCTGGCAGTATCCCAGTCCTCGTGCAACCTTGCGGTGGCGTGGCAGTTAGGCACCTGAAGGGTGCTACAGCTGAACGTTTTTTTTGCTTCTGACTTTGACTGATGGTGGACACAGTCGTTCCACCATACTTCCATCTAGGTTTCATGAGACCAAGTAATCCTCCTGTTCTCTTTCTACAGCTGCGTTAACCCCACACTTTAAGCGGTTGTTTGCATTTTCTGACGCCTTGCATAACGGGCACAGATGAACAGATGCGAACATCACAAATGTGTTGGTCACACTTAAAACTAAATTGCAAATGGCTGTCCTGTAGTGGTTTATATTTCTTCTTCAAGTACTGGACGCATACAGTTGGTGTGGCTAACCCATACACCGCATATTCATTGATTAAACCGTTCTATCTTTGCTTACTGATTTGGGGCGAAACGGCTCAGTGTTTAGAGTGCGAATTTACTGACCGGAAGGCCCATGGTTCGAAACCGACCTCTGCCTATCGACTTCCCCTGTCTAGGTTTGGGCATCTTGGCAGTATCCCGGCCCTCGTGCTTCCTTTGTGTGGCATGGTAGCTAGGTTCCGAAAGGGTGTTACAGCTGACGGATTCTTGCATTCTGCAACTGTTGATTTGAGCGTTCCAACTAACCATCGTGCCATAATGCAACAAAGATTTCTTTCGAAGTTGCGTTGACCGACCAAATTCAATTGACTGCATAAAACTAACGAAAAAAAGACAAGCCATTCATGCACTCACATAGTACATATTAAACAAAGGTCACGTGATCCATAACAAAATAACGGGGTGTGCTTTAACCAGGCACTCACCGAGCTAATGTACCCACTCATCAAACTTATGGCCTCCACCTTGTTTGTCTTTCTCTTTCCAGCGACGTCCCCATGAAGTCAGTCAAGAGGTGATGATCTACTTCCGAGAATTAACCGAAGCCTGTGTGGGTGCGTGTGAAAAGCGTCGACATGAGGCATTGGACAACGCCACTTTGGACCCGGGGTTGCAACCAATCCTACCCTATTTGGTAACGTTCATCACAGAGGGGGTACGTCACTCACCCAACAGTTCTTTTGCAGCACGCTCTATGTGGCTTTTGAATACCGCCCATCTCTTTGGAAGAAATATTCTAGGGCCGACGCGAAGATGAACAGGCTTAGCGATTTCTAATCTCCTGCAGCGTAGAGTGAATTTCGAAGAAGGAATTATAACCATTCAAACTGTAGACATTAGTGGTTTTCATTCAACACTCTTCGACTGTCGAGAGTGCTTTGCAAAAGCCCCGAAAGCAACCTGTGAGCGTAGATAGGTTGGTTTTTGAAAAAAAATGAAACAGCTACAAAAAGCGGGAACATGTTATGCGATAAATTGACGCAGAAGACAGGTCGATACAGACCACGAAAAGCGGGATGGTATTTCGAGGGCCTCATTTCTGTAAGGATCTTACAGTATGGTTCGGCGGAAAACTGGTGTGTGGGGATCTGACGCCTTTCACGAGAAGTATATTTGATAGTGAAATCCTTCACAGAATGCAAACTGTAGACAGCTCCCAGTCCATGGTCTACTCTTAGGTTTGTCCGTTTCGAAAATATTTCATCCCACTTCATACCTGTTCCCATTTGATTCTCGGGGAATACCGTGATAGGGTAAACTTCTCATTTGATAAAATGTTCACTTCTCCGTTCATCTGGATTTTCTTCGTTTCTCCTAACAACAGGTTCGCGTCAATGTTACCAACCACAATCTGGCTATTCTAATCTATCTGATGCGATTGGTCAAAGCTCTCGTAGACAATTCCCATATTTCTTTGGAGCCTTATCTGCACCTGCTTGTGCCAACAGTGATCACGTGTGTGCTCAATAGACAGTTGTGTGCTAAACCAATCACCGACAACCATTGGGCTTTGCGTGATTTTGCCGCGAAACAGCTGGTCACCTTGTGTAATCGGTATGTCGGGTTTTTCTTCTCCAGTAGCTTTATCGGTGAGTAGCAATGAAGTTTTCTTTCGTCCAATAAATTAAATAGTTCTGCAGCGGGACCCACGCAACTCCGAGGAAACATGCGGTACTGTTAATTTTTTTTTCTCTGGCCGTCTGCAGGGATGGTCGGATCGTGAACCTCTCGATCAGTGGTTCTCCGCTTCAGCCTTGTCATTCTTCTTTAGGGATTCATTCGTGAACTTATCCAGCTAATTGGAACGCGACCAGTCATTCAGAGTTGTCATTCGCTAGTACAAAAACAAATCGCCATTAGACTATGTTTTCAGACGGTCGGACAGTTCTCGTAAACCTTTGGACTGTCCAACCCCATATGCATTTGTTGAGTGAGGGATATTTTCTTGCTTACTGCTTGGTCTATTGTTGTCCTCTTTTGCACAGTCATAACACCTCAACCAACGAACTATACAACCGGGTCACACGAGAACTTTCGAGCTCCCTGCACAGTTGGATCGATGGAGCCAGTGCGGTATCCGGTACGGATTCCGGTGCAAAGTTGTCGGACGTGGTTGATTCAAAGCTTTCCACAAACCGGACTGACCCTGCGAGATCGGACAAGGTCTCAAGTACTTTGGACAAGCGGAGTACAAGTTTGGGTACCGCCGTCAACTCCATGAACACTTTGTATGGGATCTTGGTTGCGCTGGCCGAATTCGGTGCTCAGTCCCTTCGGATTTTGGTGTTTCCCCTTTTACCTTCACTCTGTCATCGGCTGACCTTGATGGTGGAACCACCGTCAACACCAACCACAGAGTCTGTGGATTCACTGTCCCCATTTCAGCCATCAACCAACCGCCTTTCACCGGCAGATCAACGTTCTTTCGACTTCCTCAAGGTTATGCTGACGGTGGGTCTTGCTAGAATCACGCCAAAATTGGCTTTATATATCCCGGTGGAAATGATTTTCCCAGATACATTGTACGAATTCACAGACTATTCCATGAATAAATAAACTTGGGAATAAGTCTAGACTACGCAGATCGGAAAGGAATTCAGCGGGATGACATTGCTCAAGACCATTTTGTATCAACTGAACATTTATTTGAGTGCTGCTCAGGTAAGGTGTTATGGTCTTGTGCTAAGTGGTCATTCTGGTAGTTAGTAGTCGAAACTGGCCAGTGCTGGCCATTTTTTCGGTGTCTTGTGAAGTGTAGAAACCCTTACGTCGTCCGGCACTCTGAGGCCATACAAACCTTCAGTTTATCTAACAGGTTTTGGGAAAAATAAACACCACAGATGAAAGAACCAGTCTGACCGGAGCTTTATGGTTTTTCTAACAGCTAATGTTATCCATATTCTTGGCGAAGTAAATCTGTGTGCAGCAGTTGAGGAAAAGGGTGACTTTCAGAGGCAACTTGGAGAGCACATTGCAAAGTGTTATAGAGGCGTCCACAGTCAAGAAGACCGAACTACGGCTTGGTTAGTTCCCTAGGAAGCCGTCGTAACCCGCTTGTTTGTACTTAGTCCTCTCTTCAGCATCCACAATCGAAGTGAAGAGTAAACTGCGCAGCACCGGGGACATTTCCACCGATTCATGCACATTTTCAACCTTTCTTTCTGCGTATAGTGAACAAACTGCGTTTCCAGCCAGTTTTTTCTAGACAATTGCTACAGGGTTCTGCAGATGTTCGTTTGAGCGGCGCATTTTAGTCACATTGACGGTTGAACCTGGCTACACCGACTGGGATGTACTTTTCCGATGTACCGCTCCCGTCAGACTGTCCAGCGCACACTAGGATTAGATAGGCCTGTGACGTTTCCATTCGTTTTTCTAGCGTTGGCTCGTTTGTCCCATAACCTTTTTTCTGCTGACCTTGCGTGTTTTACCTACTCTCCGGAGACCATCTGCTCTTAATAACCGAACTCTACGTCGAGTGGACGGATGTGTGGGCCACCGACCAAACGAAGACAGGCCTTAAGTGGCCAGAATGTCAGCCAATCAGGAGCACACTTTTATAGTTCGGCGCTACTCGCTTTTTCAAGAAGATTCTGGCATGACCTTTTGGAATATTCGGTAATAACTTTAGAAATACAGTTGTAATAATCTTCTCTTGTTTCCATAAAGGGCTGTCTCTAGCTACCGTGCCTCTTGGTATAACACAGTGGATGGAGTAGGAAGATAAGTGTCGACACAGAAGTTGCATCACCGTCAGCAAGGCACAACACATACCGATGTTCGCGTTCACCAACAAACTCCGGCGTATACACACGCTAGTTCACTCAGGTTGATTATTCCTCACTTCTTTACTCCGCTGTTTAATCGGTGGTACGTCAGTAACAGTCGATTGCTTGTCATCTTTTGTGCAGGCTTTCGACTATGGACTGAGCGCAAAACACCCTGCGGTGCTAAATCGTCTTCTTGGGATGTTAGATCATGCGGATCAGCAAGTGAATTGTAGACGCAGCCTTTTCTCCCAACGAGCTTGAAGGTGGAACGGAACGGGGCAGTTTTGCACGATTGCAACCTATGGGATATCCTGTGAAGCTGCACTGTTGTGTTCCATCTTCAAGTGGTCTGCGCTGTCGTATGTGGTGCGCACGAACATCGACCGTTTAGTACCACACTGTTATATCTTACCTTTTGGTTGACTTGATGTTGAGAACTGGCACACTGATTTTAGGCCGTCCACAGTTCGGGACGCCCGCTGGTTACCGTTCATTGTCAACTGTTTTTGTCCGCCCAGATGTCGGCCTGACACCAGTCATACATATGTATTAGTTTAGTATAGAGGAAGAGTTAGACATCCGAGTGGAAAACTCGGGGACTGCGCCTACCTGATGAGCCCCAAGAAGGGCGAAACCGGTCGTGGGCTGTCGAAGAGTTTTCAGCAACCTTGTGAGTAGTTTCCTTTATGAAAAGTTAGACACCCGGCTTCGTCGCGCAGTTTTCTGAATGACCACGCAGCTTTCTGAGTGACCACGCAGCTTATTACTATTGGGGTATCGAAATCGTATTCTACTCCTCCCTCCACAGAACCGAATCGCTCCCTTGCTTGCGGATTGGAGAACCCGTCAGAATTTGGGTACCACATTGGATGACTACCGTGCGGCCTATAAGTGTATGGCTACTTGCCTGCACTTAGCTAGTCGTTCTGCATCATCAAGTGGCAACGTCAGCACTTCAACAGGCGGTGGAACTTCGCACACGAACACTACGTCATCCAGTTCAGACATTCTCCCGCGACCTTCTTTAGTGACCAACTCCAGTATAACGGTTGTGACGACAACGAAACAGGAAGACATCAGTGGTCGGACCCCACTTCATCTCGTTTGTAGCCGCTGAGTAAGTTGTATACCTGAGAAAAATCTTGGTAGCTTAGGTGGTCGCTGGCTTGTACGTTGACCTGATCAATTTGATTGCAAATGTTTCACCACCAATGGAGGTGATATCGTCAGAACGTTGTTAGGGAGTAAATTAGAGCGCAGCGGTGGGTCAGTGGATGATGGCCGTGAAGGCCAAGCTCCAAGGTCACATGGTCACCGACCAATCAGCATAGGCTAACCCGACCGAACAGTCAATCGTGATCTAAGGTCAACCCCGTCCAGCACTACTCATTCTAACAAGCGCAACAGTGCCCAGTGCACAACTAATAAGCCATCGCTACGCTCTACTCTGCTCCCCGACAGTGCACTGATGCTGCAACCTTGGTTGGTGATGAAACATTTGCAACCAAGTTGTCTAACTCAGCGACAAGCCAACGACCATCTAAGCAATATATTCCCCTTTTTGCGTTTTGCATAACCGGTGGTAATTGGTTGGTTGATCAGCCCGGGTAACTGAGCAAACTGGTGAATGGCAACATATAAGCGACCGAAACCGTGACCTATCAAAATCACGGATCTTTTCCAGATAAGTCCCGCCAAAAAATTAACCCCCGCCACCCAGAAAAGATTAGAAAAAAGAGGATATGAAATTTGTACTTTTAGTTTTTATTGAAGAGGGTGAAATAGGGACATGTCGTTAATAATTTGCATGAAAAGGTCCGTTTTTGGATACCTTTGCCTCCGAACGAACTCACACAAGTAGCTGCCAAATTTTTGGACCAGCAACAAATGAATAGAATTACTGTCCTAAATTCCATCCTGGACCGCTCCAACCAAGTTCCCTTTCGAAGACCGGTTTCTTGCTGACACGGTCGGGCATTACACCTCCACCTGTCAGAAACAGTTGAAAGTGTCATTTGGTGGCCATTGTTTCATAAACGTTGCTGATGGCTTTGCAAAAAAAACGTATTGCCATCTCCTTGTCATGAACGAGAGTTGAAAGCGTCA